TACCATTTTTAAAATTTCCTAATTATTCAATTTATCAATCTGAAAATTTACTAATTTGGAAATTCAGTAAATTGCAAATTTCCCAGCTTAGTAAATTAGTCAACTGAAAATTTACCACCTTGAAAATTTATCAACTTAAAAATTCAGTATCTTAAACATACCCCAATTAAAAAATTTCTGCAATTAAAATGAAAATACTTGAGATAGAAAACACCTGTAAGAGGAAAGATTCCGAGAAAAGGCAGTTCGAATGTTGGACGAACGAGGAAAGGTCGATCGCGTGGGTCCCCGATTTCCGTTTGCAATGCACTCGAGTATGCGAAGGCACGCGCGTGCCAGACGAATGTCGTAAACACCGAGAGAACTCGAGTGCGGTGTAACCAGCGAAAAGACGTATGTCGAGCCGCGTAAACAGCCTTGGTCAACCGGCGACGAACGTAGGCGTTTATTCGTGTCAAAAGTTAACGCTTTCGCGTGTCGTACATCCTAGTTTCGCTCCCTTTATTTCCCTTCCTGTTACCGCCGCCTTCTTCCCCCGTCGCCTTCTTCCGCATAATAAGTGCCGCTGATTGTTTACGTGATCCCGTCCTATTAACCCGAAACTAACTTTTTAGCCTTTGTCCTTTACGAATTTTAGGTAACTTCTTATCTAATGGGGAATTTGGTGAATTTTTATGGGGAATTTGGAGAATTTTTTTATTTTTGAGGAATGTGTTATTGGATTTGAGAGAATTGTTATGTTTGCTGTTGGAGTTTGGAAAATCAGTAATTTGGGAAACCTAAATTCTCACGTTCCCAAATCCCCACGTCCCCAAATCTCCACATCCTCTAATTCCCACGTCCCCATATCCCTACGTCCCCAAATCACCACGTTCCCTAATCCCTACGTCCCCAAATCCCCACGTCCCCAAGTCCTCACGTCTCCAAATCCCTACGTCCCCAACTCGCCACGTCCCCAAATCCCTACGTCCCCAAATCGCCACGTCCCCAAATCCCTACGTCCCCAAATTCCTACGTCCTCCCGAATCCTTACGTCCCCAAATCCCTACGTCCCCAAATTCCTACGTCCCCAAATCCCTACGTCCCCAAATCCCTACGTCCCCAAATCCCTACGTCCCCAAATCCCTACGTCCCCAAATCCCTACGTCCCCAAATCCCTACGTCCCCGAATCCTTACGTCCCCAAATTCCTACGTCCCCAAATCCCTACGTCCCCAAATTCCTACGTCCCCGAATCCTTACGTCCCCAAATTCCTACGTCCCCGAATCCTTACGTCCCCAAATTCCTTTCCACGTTCCCAAATCCTCACGTCCCCAAATTTCCACGTTCCCAAATCTCAACCTTGCCAAATCCCCATATCCCCAAATCCCCAAATCCCCATATTCCCAAATCTCCATATCCCCAAATCCCCATATCTCCAAATCCCCAAATCCCCATATCCCCATATCCCCATATCCCCAAATCCCCATATCCCCAAATCCCCAAATTCCCCAATTCCATAATTTCCCAATTCTATAATTTTCATATCAAGGTACAAAAACCAAAATAATGAATTTCCACATAATTTCTCCGTAAATAAATATTTGAAAATAAAGCCATGGTGCGTGGCCGATATATTTCATCCACCGAAACGTGTCGTTGGTCGCGAATTAATCAATCCGAGGCAAGGTATCGTTGTCACGAACACGATCATAGCGACCAAAAAGGGGGATAAAAGCCAGAGCGACGAAACGCGAACGTTACACGTTAGAATCACGACATTAACCGAGGCCAACCAACCGCTTTTCTTCCTGTTTCTTCGAGCTGATTAATTTCCGCGATATTTCTCCGCCTAATCCCACTTTCATTTTTCTAGCCTCGCGTTCCACGGCTTCATTTAGCGGATAACAAATGGCCGGGAAAATTAGCGAACCTCCGGCCTCGGGATTAGCGTTTTGAGCCCACGCTTAGGGCAATCATTTTTTGGGTTGCTGCACGAAAATGGGGTGTGGTATATTTTCGTCGGGGAAATTGTTAAGTTAAGGTGAGGGGGAATTTATGAATATGAGAATTTAAGGAATTTTGGTAATTGGGAAGGTATTTTTGGTAGTTAGAAGATGGGAAATTTAGGGAATTTTAATTGCATTCACAAAGTCTTATGTTCCCAAATCTCTACATTCCCAAATTTCTACCTTTTTTAATTTCTTCATTCTCCAATACCCATATTCCCCAATTTCCATATTCCGCAATTTCCACATTCCCCAATTCCTACATTCTCCAATTCCCACATTCTCCAATTCCCACAGTCCCCAATTTCCACATTCCCCAATTTCCACTCACACCAATTCTTATATTCCCTAATTCCCACATTCCCCAATTCCCATATTCCCCAAATTCTACACTTTCCAATTCCCACATTCCCCAAATCCCACATTCTCCAATTTCCACAATCTCCAGTTCCCAAATTTCCCAATTCCCACATTTTCCCATTCCCACATTCCCCAAATCCCTACATCCCCAAATCCCTACCTTCCCAAATCCCTACATCCCCAAAACCCAACGTCCCCAAATCCCCACGCCCCCAAATCCTCACGTTCCCCAATACCCACGCCCCCAAATTCCCACGTCCCCAAATTCCCACGTTCCCAAATCCCCACGTCTCCAAATCTCAACCTTGCCAAATCCCTACATCTCCAAATTCCCATATCCCCAAATCCCCACATCCCCAAATCCCCACGTCCCCAAATTCCCAC